ATGATGACATTGATGAAAATTCTATGGAAGAGGACCCAGAGTTAAAGGACATGGCAAGCGACTCAGCAAAACCCCTTATCTCTTACTCTGGGTCATGTCCTTCCTCACCGCCTTCTGTGATCTCCAGTATCGCTGCTTTGGAGAATCAAATGAAAATGATTGATTCTGTCATGAACTGTCAGCAGCTGACCAGTTTAAAATCCATAGAAAATGGATCAGGGGAAAGTGACCATTTGAGCAATGACTCCTCATCGGCTGTTGGTGATCTCGAAAGCCAGAGTGCAGGCAGCCCTGCAATGTCAGAGTCTTCTTCCTCCATGCAAGCTTTGTCTCCTGTAAATAGTAACAGTGAAAGTTTTAGATCAAAGTCCCCAGGTCTCAGCAACCAGGAAGAACCACAAGAAATACAATTAAAGACTGAAAAACCAGACAGCCCACCACCTGCAACTGAAAATGGAGGCGCGTTAGATCTGACATCCACCAACCCTGGAAGACCGGTCATCAAAGAGGAGGCTCCTTTTAGCCTGCTGTTCCTGAACAGAGAACGTGGTAAGTTTAAAAGTACTGTTTGTAATATCTGTGGCAAGCCTTTTGCTTGTAAGAGTGCATTGGAAATTCACTACCGCAGCCATACTAAAGAACGTCCATTTGTTTGTACAGTCTGCAATCGTGGGTGTTCCACTATGGGTAATTTAAAACAGCACTTACTGACGCACAAATTAAAAGAGCTGCCTTCTCAGTTATTTGAACCCAACTTTACTCTAGGTCCCAGCCAAAGTACTCCTAGCCTGGTCACCAGTACAGCGCCTACCATGATCAAAATGGAAGTGAATGGTCACAGCAAGCCGATCTCTTTGGGTGAGGTTCCCTCGCTTCCAGCTGGAATCCAGGTTCCTGCTGCACCACAGACAGTGATGAGTCCGGGGATCACCCCCATGCTGGCACCCCCCCCTCGCCGCACTCCCAAGCAGCACAACTGTCAGTCTTGTGGGAAGACCTTCTCCTCAGCAAGCGCACTGCAGATACACGAGCGCACCCATACTGGTGAAAAACCGTTTGGTTGCACAATCTGTGGTAGAGCTTTTACCACAAAGGGGAATCTTAAGGTAAGAGGCCAAATGCAACTGTAAAGGCTTGGGGGGATTGAGGTACTGTACTTGAAATTGGCCGATTTTAGGGCTGAATGTGTGTCCCAGAAACAGGAAAAAAGGGAGATTCAAGGCTCGTTGTATGCCGGTGTGTTTCATGCTTCTCCTGTGTTAAAGATAGGGACCGAAAAGAGGCTGTGCAAGGATGTGCTCTTTAAAACTGCTTCTGAGTGTATGCACACGTACGCAGTGTGTTTTGTCTGACAATCATGATGTACAGACAGTCAGCTGGTATGCATGCTCTGGCAGTTCTTGTGGAACAGCACTGAAAAATAAGCTCACTCTAAACCAGAAATGCAGAACTATCTCAGCAACTAGTGTGCCTGTCACAGATTTCCAGTTTCTGTTCTGCTTTGAGGGCACTGCGGACTAGAAAGCAGTTTCCCACTGATTTACAGCAGGTCACTGCAGGACTCGTGCCTCCTATTCCCACAGTCTGGTTAACCACCAGGACACAGCCTGGGGAATACACTTTTAACTGTCCTGAAGTTCCTGTTTTTAATATTATATTTAGCAAAACGATTGATGCATTTGATGTGAGATAAAATATTAAGAGAAAAGATGTTGAAAGGGAAAGGGCAGAAAAAATGCCATCTCCTAGTATGAGTAAAAGCACTTGGTAATCTTCACCATGAAGAATTTCCAGCTTGCATACGAGACTGTCCAAACCTAAAAGGATGCATATGCTTTGTTCTTTTGGTTACACTGAAAGATTATTACGGAGCTGGATTTTCCTTTGCACAGCTTGACCAGGCCTTAGAACCGTGTCTTAACTGGAATTGATTTGTTTCCAATGTGAACTAAAAGACTTTTTTTAAAACCAGAATTAAAAGACCTTTTTTAAAAGCAAGGGGCTCAGCCCAGCCACTCATCTGGAAGGTGCTAATGTGAGGGTGTTTCTTGTCCCATTTGCATTGCAGGTTCACATGGGAACGCACATGTGGAATAATGCACCTGCACGCCGTGGCCGTCGCCTCTCCGTGGAAAACCCCATGGCTTTGCTGGGTGGTGATGCACTGAAGTTCTCTGAAATGTTCCAGAAGGATTTGGCAGCTCGAGCCATGAACGTTGACCCCAGTTTTTGGAACCAATATGCTGCAGCTATCACAAATGGACTTGCCATGAAGAACAATGAGATTTCTGTCATACAGAACGGAGGCATTCCCCAGCTCCCAGTAAGTCTTGGTGGAGGTGCCATCCCACCTCTAAGCAACCTTACCAGTGGCATGGACAAAGCTCGCACAGGCAGCAGCCCTCCCATTGTTGGTTTGGACAAAGCAAGTTCTGAAACTGGAGCCAGTCGTCCATTCACCAGATTTATTGAGGATAATAAAGAGATTGGCATAAATTAAAAGCATTCGTTACGAATAACTGTTGGACCACTACTCAACGCAACACTTGTCCTGTTCCATGTACAGCTTTTGAAGTTAAGCATTAGTTTCCTGACCTAAATGCATAGGTTCCCCTTAAAATTTTACCTGTAGCAGAAATACCCAACTTTGTGGCTGCTGAAAAGTTGTCTTGCAAGATCTGCATGGTACTTCTTTCAACAGTGAGTTTGACTGTTATTGAGAACTGTGAAACCATTTAATTTAACAGAAACAAACAAACAAAAAAAACCATTGGATAACTTCATTAGAAACAGAAAGAGGCTAGTCTACGTCCACTTTCTTCTTAGAAACCTTAATATCAACTGAGAGAGGGGGCTTCGCTATGGCATTCTGTCACACTTGCTGGTTTTGTTCAAATTAGTTAGCAACTTGGACTATGTTTTTAGGAATCTTAATCTCAAATAAGTGATTTAGTACCCCAATGCTGTGTATTATTACAGTATCCTTGTCTGTAGTATTTATAATGTTAAGACTATGCGGGTAACAGACAATATACTAGCCCCAAATTTAAATGAAGCTCTTGTACTGCAAAATACATCTGGTTATGTGACCTTTCTTTTTCTTTTCTTTTCTCTCTCTCTCTCTCCCTTTTTCTTTTTCTTTTTTTTTTTTAAAGCAAGTCTTGTTTTACTATAAATAAGTGGTTTATTTTAATGCAGACAAAATTGTGAAGTTTTATTGGGAAAGATAGCATGCTTTTCATGTGCAAGTACCTGTCAGTAACAAACTTTTTTTTTTAATTTAAGTATTTGTAGCTGCTATGTGGACAGTTGTTCTATTAAATGAAAAAAAAAAAAAAAAATGTAGTGTGGACTTTAGCTCAATGATTGGAAAACAAGTTACAGACAAACCTTAGCACCATAAATTATTCACAACGTAATAAACTGTTGTGAGTAAATACTTCATGTTATCAAAGCTGTACAATAAAAAGGTAATGTTTGTATAATGTGGTTGCAAACTCTTAATTTATACTATTGCACTTTTAGTATTTTGTATTAGGGAGGTTTGTCTATAATTTGAAACTGAACTAAGATGTAAACTATTTTATAAATAGTACTTTGACTTAAGGAATAACGGGGGAAGCCCTGTTACACTTTCTGGTTTTGTTTTAAGGTCAAACAATGAGAGCTCTCTTAACTAAGCAGAAAAGCTGCAGAGAACTGTCAGATCCTTAGGAAAAATGGGCCTGCCATTTCTTAAATTGAAATGATTCATTTAACTTTCCTACAAAGCCCACTTAAAAGCGTGACCACCCCCAGCAGAATTCTGATGCATTTATCTTAGGAGTGTGATATTAATACAAGTCTAGGATAGATGACAGAGAACATTGCGTAGGTTTAATTTTACTGTGATCTGTTCTATCTTTCACACACACCCACCAGAAAGATGTTGACTGCCTAATAATGCGGGGAAAAAAAAACTAACTTTAGGGCAGCACGAGCTGTAGTATGTTATGTGTTTATTTCCAACTCTCACTGATTATCTTCTCAGATCGCTCTGAAGCACAATATACTCTGATTAATCGAATATAATTTTATGTTGGTTGCATTCTTTCAATTACACTGAGTAAATAAAGGGAATGGTTCCACTCATAAGTCAGGCTGGGGATGCTGAGAAGACTGGGGCTTGATCAAAACTTGAACAGTAAACATTTTGTGTACTACCTCATTTTTGTGCATTACAAGCGTGGTGGAGTCTGACACTATGAACTTCTGTCCAGCAGAATTGCTTGAGGGACGTTATGGGTAGCTGGGTAACAGCACAAGGAGTTTTATGCCCCTGCGGAGTGAATCAGACAGTGAGGTCTTCTCATTTGAGACTGAAAAAATAAGACAATCTTTCTTACACAACAAAAGCTTACTGTAAGAGGATGGTCTGTTTCTGCCATCGTGTAATGGAGTGCAAAGAGTTTCAAAGACTTACTAGCTGTTTGTTTCTACTGGAAATGAGCAATGAACTATACGTCTCCATTTTTTACAATGATGAGATAGATATATAGATATACATATCTATATATAAACAAAATTATGTATCTATAATGCCTCTACAACATAACATCTTTCTTTTGCCACAGTGTGTGAGTGGTTAGGGGTGTTTCCAAGCATTTTGAAAAAGAAAACTGAGGTGGCTTAATGTTGCTGCATTTCAGCAATTGAATGTTTTTATTTATCTGTGTCATTTTTGGTGTGAGTTTTTCTGTTAGTATTTGGTACCATGTAGTGTTATCTTTATTCCCTAAAGGATGTGTATAACTTAAAAAAAAAAAAAAAAAAAAAAAAAAATTTAAAAAATTAAAAAAAAAAAAAAAAAAAAAAAAAAAGGTTTAAAAAATAAAAGAAATGAAAAGGGGGGAAAAAAAAAAGAAAAAGAAAAAAAAAGATGAAAGATGTAAAGTGTTGTAAATAAGATGGTTGATGATGGTACAGTAAGACTGAGCCCATTTTGTATTCAGGGTTAGGTCATTCCTCTCTGCATGGTGAAGAGAGACACTATTTTTATACTGTGATACCATGTAGGGCTAGGAGCCTCCCTGAACCAGCTGGGAATTGTTACTTAGATCCAATATTTTTTATTATTGAATCTTGTTGGCTTGACACACCTACTGATTGAAATGGATGTCTTAGTCTAGGTTACTATTTTTGTCATATGGAGTTGAATAAAATGCAGGATGTAATATTATTTCTGAATTGCGTTCCTTGATTATTCTAATAACTGTGAGATAACGAGAATGAGGTCACTTGTGGTAGATTGGTGTCAATGGCTTCTAATCGTTGCATCTGAAAACTGGAATAAGGTTGACACCTTGTATTTAAATGCTGCTCTAATGTATATTAGCGGTGCAAAGGGGTAGAATTATTCAAGTCTCTTTTCCAATGAAAATAAATCCTCAGAGCATTTCATGCAAGACAGTAGAAGGAAAAAGCAAACAAACAAACAAAAAACAACTTGGAGGAGGGAAAGCAGCCTTTGAAAGTACTACTGCTTCAAACTGACTGCATTCTGCACACTTTTTATGCTCTGTTTACAGCAGAAGGTTCATTTTCACGTTGTTTAAACATCTACCTAAAATCCATTATGTGCTGCATGATAAAATCTGAGAACAAATTGGTCAGAAGTTCAAATCCAAAAATTCAAAATTAAGAACCAAATTGACAACTCGCATCCATTCATTCCAAATGACATATTCTGTATAATAAAACCTATGGCTTTTTTCTTTATTTTATCAAGACCCCAATTCATCAAAGCATGCCTAACTTTAACCAAATTATTTTTTCATGCCAATTTAAATGTAACTTTTACATTCTTGAGGATAGGCATACGATTAAATATCTCCTGCAAAAACCTCTGCCTTCAAGCTGCTATGATCTGGTGACGGATGCCTGCTGCATTTAAAACGGACAAAAAATAAAGAAAAGCAAAGAAAAATCTGACTTAATTATCTTTTAGCAGCCTTGCTATGAAAATACTCTGTTCTATAAGGTCTACTCAGAGAAGGTACGAGTTTCCTCTGGTGATTCAACAACAGGTTTTTGCTTGTGCTTACGTCCCTGCGTGCACATCTCTGAGCCTTGCTGAGAGAAATCCTGACGTGCAAAAAAAGAGAGGGCTCTGATAGTTACAATACTGTTCAAAACACAGAGAAAAGTTTTCTGCCTTCCCATCCTCCCCCACCAATGCTATCTATCCTTAAATAAGCAGTGGGGCATTTTTGTTCTTATAGGAAGACGTTAAAGAATTTGAATAGATAAATGTGTTACACAGGTAAAAATAGTCAAAGTCTGCTGAATTACAGATGTTTAAAAGTAGAGCCATGTAGGAATTCTGTAATCAGAAAATGATGCAAGTTTTGGTATTTTGTGGGGAGGGTTATTTTACATTGTGAAAATTTCAGCAATGCTTTCAAACTCTTATTTTTTTTCCACAAGTGATTAGAAATGGAGTATTTATGACAAATGAGTGACATAATTACTTTTTTACCTGTTTGTGTTTGTTTTTTTTTCCCCCTTTTTTCTCTGTGTGTGTATTAGCCCTCAATACAATAGCTATTCCTTCATCTATTTTGTCCTTTCCGTCTTGGCAAATACTTTGCATTCCTACGGCTGCATTTGTTTTGTATTTCTGTTGACTTTAATTTACTTCTCTGCATGTACTTCTGCCATTTGGAAGATACTGTGGGTTTTGGTTGTTGTTGTTGTTGTTTTTTTTTTCCTTTTTCTCTAATTCTGCTAAAGTCAAAAGATGTACCTTTTTTTTTTTCTTTTTCTTTTTTTTTTACACCTGTGTGTAATGCTAGGATAATGAACAATGAAGTAATCAGTGATATGATCAGGTATGTGTATAGCTCACAGGATGCCCTAAGAAACGTGCCATTCACACTTTTCTTTAGATGAAGATGTTAAGTTTGTTAGTGTGCTGGTACAGATATTCAGGAGAATGGAGACTTTCATCCTAACTTCACCACACCTGCTGTTACACCGCTGGAAACTCCATGGCCTTCAATGGAGATACTCCAAATGATTAGCTATGTAGTATATTGAAAGTATGTCTAGACAAAAGTATCGTGGACTTTATTTTTAAAAAGAGGGAAGAGATAATATGTATATTTTAGTACACACTGCAAGATTATTAAGGAAGTCATGACATCTGAATCTGAAAAACATGACCGTGCCCTTTAATGTAGAATTTGATGTGAGAACGCCATGTGAATAATCGGTCCCTTCTCATATAAATGAGTAAAAGAGCTAAAAACTTCTATGTATTAAGCAGAAAAATGTGAAAAGCTTGCTTTTGGCAACACAACATACACACTACCACGCAAATGCTTTTCCTTTGCATATGCTAAAGGTATCAGCAGATTAATTAAAAGAATAAGATTTGTGCAGCTCCAGCGCATAGTATTTTATTTTTTCAGAAGGCAGAACGGCTCGATCGGTTGGCAAAGTGACAAACCTGAAAGCCAA